CTGGTTTTCATGAGACTCACCGGCGCATGCGCAGCGCTGACCTCATGCGTCATGCTCCCGGAGCTGCTTCTCTGTACAACAGTGAAAGTGACGTGACATGTGCCCAAGTATGGTGACCCATACTCAGAATTAGTGCTCTGCATTTACTCATCCAAAGTGCACACACACAGCAGTGAACACACAAACACCGTGAACACACACCCGGAGCAGTGGGCAGCCATTTATGCTGCGGCGCCCGGGGAGCAGTTGGGGGTTCAGTGCCTTGCTCAAGGGCACCTCAGTCGTGGTATTGAACTGTGAGCGCAAGCTACATTAAAGTGATTATTACGTTCTGAATATGGATATTTTTCTAACAAAAACGCATCGATTCGCTACTGAAGACCTTTGTTCACCCCCCGGAGCCGTGTGAGACACTTTTTTTATGGATGGGCGCTTTTTATTTAACTTCTTTTGGACTGATGCATGCAACACCCGCTGAGTGCCTTAAACAGCTTGAAAGATCAAAGACCATTTTTAATATAACTGCGACTGGATTCGTCTGAAAGAAGAAAGTCATATACACCTAGGATGCCTTGGGGGTGAGTAATTTATGGGCTAATTTTCATTTTTGGGTGAACTAACCCTTTAAGGCAAGACACTACTGGCAAAGTGATTGTTTTTTCATGCACTGGTCGATTTTGGAAAGAAAACATCCAAAATAATCATTGAAGTCTTTATTTATTGCACTTATTTCATTGCATCTTTAAAGAGTTTTGTCTCTTACAAACAGCAAACGTTACAGTTTAATCCTCTCTGTATTCTCAAGGTTTGTTCATATTTCATTCACACTGATTTATGCAACACTTTACTCCTGAAAACATGATGAAAATCTGTCTGTTGACCGTATTTTCTGATTTATGATAAAGAGAGAAATCCCAAATCTCCTCTGGAAAAACCTTTAACTCTAATATGACAATAAAATCACACAAGCATTATGAACCAATGTTCAGATTCTGAAAAACAGTTGATATTTAATAAGAATTAGCTTTTTTAAATGTAACATTTCAGAAAACTTGTCATACTCATTTGAGTGTAATCAGTCAACATTTTGCCTTAAATCGCAAACTACAAATCACAATTGTGTTTGTTTGAAACAGTTATTATTTGAGAGAGAAGTGGGCATCATTTTCAATAAATTACTGTCATAAAACCAGAAGCGAGATCACATGTGTCATCATCTGTGATCTTTCTAAACGTCTGAATGATGGAGAAAGGTTTATCTTTATATCTATATCTAGTCATGAATGCAGATGTGAAGTGAGTCCTCTGAAGGGCTGTGTTTGAGTGAGTGCTGCAGGGGACCCAGAGTAAACCCAGAGTAAACCCAGAGTAAACCCAGAGTAAACTCAGAGTAAACCCAGAGTATACCCAGAGTAAACTCAGAGTAAACCCAGAGTAAACTCAGAGTAAACCCAGAGTAAACCCAGAGTATACCCAGAGTAAACTCAGAGTAAACCCAGAGTATACCCAGAGTAAACTCAAAGTAAACCCAGAGTATACCCAGAGTAAACTCAAAGTAAACCCAGAGTATACCCAGAGTAAACTCAATAAAACCAGAAGCGAGATCACATGTGTCATCATCTGTGATCTTTCTAAACGTCTGAATGATGGAGAAAGGTTTATCTTTATCTATATCTATATCTAGTCATGAATGCAGATGTGAAGTGAGTCCTCTGAAGGGCTGTGTTTGAGTGAGTGCTGCAGGGGACCCAGAGTAAACCCAGAGTAAACTCAGTGTATACCCAGAGTAAACCCAGAGTATACCCAGAGTAAACCCAGAGTAAACTCAGAGTATACCCAGAGTAAACCCAGAGTATACCCAGAGTATACCCAGAGTAAACTCAAAGTAAACCCAGAGTATACCCAGAGTAAACTCAGAGTAAACCCAGAGTATACCCAGAGTAAACTCAAAGTAAACCCAGAGTATACCCAGAGTAAACCCAGAGTAAACCCAGAGTAAACCCAGAGTAAACCCAGAGTATACCCAGAGTAAACTCAGAGTAAACCCAGAGTAAACCCAGAGTAAACCCAGAGTATACCCAGAGTATAGACCCAGAGTGTAGACCCAGAGTGTAGACCCAGAGTAAAGAGCGGCTGATTGGTGTTTGTGTAGAAGCTCTGAATGAAAGCCCTCGCGCGTCTCTGACGCACCGGATCATGTGTCGGTTACCGTGGATGTCCCGAGCTCGGCTTTCCTCCGTCCTCGTCTGGGCTCCGGTGCGGCGCGACGCGTTCTCAGAAGGTGAGCTCTTGCGTTTGAACTCGCTGTTAGTGCGACTAAGAAAAGTTTGCGGCGGAAAGGCAGCGCCGTTAGCCGGTTAGCCGCGCTCGTTAACGGGCCTGACACGAGCGACACCGGCTGCGGGTGAGTGAACGGTTCCTGATGAAGCCGTGTTTAGTTGAGCAGCTGAGTGCCAGAGCGCGTGCATCATCTTCATCATCTTCATCATCATCAGATGTGAGTGTGTCAGTGTTGGGAACGTTACTTTGGTTACAGTCACTCTATAAACAAGTAGTGAAACTATTTTCGAATGTTTTAATCATTTAGAAACATTTAAACCTCACAGTAGTGTTCAACGCTGATTGAATTATCACTTGAATTAAGATTACAATCATTTAATTTTAAAGCACCGCCACCACAGAATCAGACTTTAGCAGCTTTTTTTAAACTTTGAGATCATAACTAGATATGGTTTAATAGCAGTGAAATCAAATCTTTACATAGACAGCAAACACAGGCGTCTAACAATGCTTTGGGGTCTTAAAATATAAAGCATATAGCCTACATAAACCCAAATAGGGAATAAAACAGTTATGGAATAACTCCTGAAACATTGGTGTCTCGTACTGTAAAGCAGTCAATGCAATTTGGGAAAGAAATCAATCAAATCTGTATCTGTGTGAAAATATTCAGATGCAACCCCCTTCGTAATCATTAACATTTCCATAACTGTAATTTAATGACACAGTTTTTCTCAGTAGCTGTAATCGATCACAGTTACATTTGTGTTGTAACTCCGTTACATGTAACGCGTTACTCCCCAGCACTGAAGTCTGTGAGTGTACTCCGTCTCTAGAGGATGATGCTCCGCTCCTCAAACACACATCGGTTTTACAACTTCACACAACGTCGTATTTTGGTTGCAGTTCAATGTTTCAGAAACCACTTCTGAAATAATGCAACCGAAATAAAATTACAATCTGGAAGTAATAAAAAACAGGAATGTAACGTTTGTTTACTGTGAAAACAAAACCAGATCAAGCTGCAACTTTTGTGAAACATTAACGAAACTAACATTTTGGGAAAAATTAGACTTAGGCTTGTTTGCCGTTGAGATGACTGGGAAAATGTCCCAATTAACCTGAAATAACTTCTGATCAGTCACGGTTTCCAAGGTAACCGCGGTTTCACTTCTGTAGGTCACATGATCACGATATGAACACAAACACTAGAAACATTAATAATGTCTGACATGAAGAAAATCAAGCCTGTTTGGGAGCATCGGGATTGTTTTGCATTGCACACACACACACACACACACACACACACACACACAGTGTAACTGAGAAACATCTGGTTTTATATTCCAGTGATGAGTTTAGGTTCTAACAGTCATCTCTCGTCTGATGATGGGGAGATGCTGACGAGCTCTTCATCAGTGAGGAAGCTCACAAACCCACAGTAAGCCTGTTTTCAGTGCTTTATGTTGATTGGATGATGGCATGCTAATGGGAGGGGTTTGCTGGGAACGATAATCGGCTCACAGCTGCAGCACTGAACCAGAATCACGAATCAGTATGAATCTGAGAAAAATAACCTTGTGCGAGTCACATTTCACCCTGAAATAATATCCTATCGCTCCCGTTTTAAGAGCAATAAGAGATTTTCTCATGATTTTATCAGTTATGTTCTGAATATACTGTATCTAGCTTCTAAATTCAGCATGTTCTCATATGTGATGTTCATTATACGTGCCACATGAAAGTCAAGAAATTACAAAAAACTATTTTGTAAGGCTATTTTCTGTGAATGTGCAGGACTTCAGATTCGTTAGTCACTGTAGGTACGTTTATTTATATAGCACGTTCATACACAAAGGTCATTCTAAGTGCTTTACTTAAAAATGATCAAAAATTGCATTAAGCTAATGAGAATCATTCCTGAGAAAGAGACACATTACAGTCTTTGTGCATAATACTTCTTGCATACTGGGTATGTATATAAATCTAACCGTTCCTATAAAACAGGAATCAAGACAAGCACAACAAAACTCAACTCACTCTCATTATCTGATAGATTTAACTCTTGATTTAATGTGAAATCATATTTAAAATCAGTCCATTTTTAAATGTTTTTTTTGTTTGCATGTGCTCCTCTGATTAGCATTACGCTTGAATATGTTAAACAGAATGTAAATGTTCAGTTCTACCGAAATGTAGCAGTTATTTAAGCTACTTTCTGCTTTAAATGTAAAGCTTACAGTCAGTCATGTGATCAGAACTCATTAAACATAGTTCAAACACTGAGCTGGTTCACCACAGCACTACTTGTATTACTGGGCAGTACATTTACTCATTTATTTAGATTTTTAAAACCATAATCACGATTCTTTTGCTCAATATTGTAATCACAATTATTTAACACGATTAGGAGTGGACGATATGATCAAAACGATGTGCACTGCCGGTCAAACGTTTGGGATCAGTAAGATTTTTAATGTTTTTTAAAGAAGTCTGCTCATCACGGCTGCATTTATTTGATCAAAAATACAGGAAAAAACAGTAATCTTGCAAAATGTTATTACAGTTTCAAACAGCTTTGTTCTATGTGAATCTCTGTTAAACTGTAATGTATTTCTGTGATGCGCAGCTGTATTTTCAGCATCATTCCTCCAGTCTTCAGTGTCACATGATCTTCAGAAATCAGTATAATATGCTGATTATTATCAGAATTATCAACAGTTGTGCTGCACAATATTATTTTTGGAAACTGCGATACTTTTTTCAGGATTCTTTGATGAATAAAAAGTTCAAAAGAACAGCATTTATTCAAAATATAAATCTTTTCTAACAATATAAATCTTAGCCATCACTTTTAACGCATCCTCGCTGAATAAAAGTTTTAATTTCTTTCAAAAAAAGAAAGAAATATTTCTATTTTAAATAAATGCACGGATAATAAATCAGCATATTATACTGATTTCTGAAGATCATGTGACACTGAAGACTGGAGGAATGATGCTGAAAATACAGCTGCGCATCACAGAAATACAGTACAGTTTAATGTATATTAAAATAGAAAAACGTTATTTTGCATCATAATAATATTTTACAATATTAATTTTTTTCCTGTATTTTTGATCAAATAAAAGCAGCCTTGATGAGCAGAAGACACTCCTGTAAAACATAAAAAATCGTTCTGATAGTAGTCGTCTGGTAGTGTATATCAAGTATATTTTGCTGAAAATAAGGATGCAAACATAAATATTTAGATAACAGTGAAATTTCACAATTCTCAATACCAGTTTTGACAAAAACAAAGATTACAAACAGGACAAATACAATGTAACTCTTTCTAACAGTGTAGAATTCAGCTGATAATCTACTACAGTAAATTAATAAATGAATCAAATGTACAATAAAAGTTACTACATTTAAAGCAAGGTTAACTAAACTAACAATAAAACCATAAAAAATATTTCCGTTATGTGAATAAATGAAATGAATGTTAACTGAAATAAATTAATATATAAAAAACCGTATTTTATTTCAGCTAGTTTCCAAGGCAACATTTCTCATTTTCATTTAGTTTAACTTGATGTACTAAAATAACTAGAACTAAAACTCAAATTAAAATGAATAATATATAGAGATATTTAAAAGCAACAAAAACTACTAAAAATGACTAAAGCTTTAACTAAAATTAACATGAAAGCAGAAAATATACAAATAAAGTCTAATTCCAAATGCGATATTAAAATCCCACTGGTCTGAAGTTGTGCTGGAACACAGAAAACACGGGACACGCGTGTGTCTGCATGAGCGTCCGGTGTCTGTGGTCTCCATGGTAACAGTGTGTGTGTTTCCGCCGGGATCAGACCTGATAGACGACAGATGTGAGAGTTTAAACACGCATGACTTTGCTTCTCCTGTGATCTTTTGGCTGGCGATTGTTCGATCGAATGCTGTTGTGTTTCACAGAAACGCCGTGAGGGAGAGACACTGATGATCATTTATTCTAATATCATGGGTTTGATTCCCAGAGACCCAAATGCATCAGAATGTAATTGTGATTCAGTTCAACACCAGCGGTGATCCCGAACCCGTCCTCGAGTCCTTCACTCACTTATTAGATGATAATCATGTGTGTCATTCTCCTCAGCACGCCTGTCCAACCACACACACACACACACACACACACACACACACACACAC